GTTCACATTCTGAATGGAAACATGGGAAACCGAAGATCAGTTCAGGTTTCTAAATATTGCTTTTCTTCGTTCCTTTGAGCCAAGTTGATTTCTTTATTTGATTAATCGAGATTCTAAGTTCAGGAATTTCAGCTTCTAGTTCAAAAGGCATGAAATTGCCAATACAAGCGATCGTGCGAGTCCCTGCAATTAATTGGGACGACGACTCGATCGCTGGGACAAAACTTTTATTCGTCTCACGTTTCGAGAGCCATCGCGGATATGCAGTATTTATAGGATGCAGTTATTACTGCAACATGCGCGTTGAGAGTTTGTTGACCGGCATGCAAGCTCTGACTTGCTGATGGTTTGTTGGCCATCTGGCTCCCAGGTTTTGGTGAAAGACGACACAGTGGCCTGTGCCTTCCCAAATTGGCGACTTGCTTTAGCGAATTTTAACCATGATTGAAGTAATTCTTGGCTCAAATTTGAATGTGTGGTCGGGTCTCGCCGATTGAGCCGCAACTTAAGAATTGACGTCGTATTACGCCAACAACTTAGAGCTGGATGGCCGAGCAATCATCAAACCCGAGTCCACTTCGCGTGATGAAAGTTCAGCAAATAGAGCCCGCGTGCCGGTCAAAAACCTTTAACGCAAAAGAAGGCAATTATTGTTACTTTTAGTTATACGTTAGCAGTAATGACTGTTTTCTATAAAAAGTGCAAATGCATTAACATATGACACCGGTTTCTGCTACTGCTTTCTGCTTATGTCCTCGATGAAGAATTTGCGATAGATGTCGAAACGTCAGGCCAATATATGCATTATGCCAGCGATCGAACCTTCTTCTTCCTATCAGACATGAAACATAAATAGGGTTCAGCGGCTTTTTTACCCCTTTCGTACATTTTGAGTCTTGCCGTTTCACTAAATTCTTTCCTACTGTTGATATTTTATACCTACTTCAATGCTGTGGGGCCTATTTGACCGGAGTCAGAAAGGTTTCAATAAACCAGAAGTTGCAGAAACAGGTCTGCTACTGCTTTTTGCTAATGTCTCTGATGATGAATCCGCGACGGCTATCGAAACTTCAGGTGAACAAACGAATTGTCCCAGCGACCGAGTCGTCTTCTTCTCAAACCTGAAGTTACTGAAACTGAAGGGTCTAGACGGTAGCTAATGCAGCATATGCCTGCTAACCGAATGATATGTTTTTTTCCATGAAGTTGGCAGCATCTGTTTTAGAACGTTGTGACGGCCCAAACATTTACGATTGCAAAGCGGTATAGAGGCTTACTACAGAATAGGGGCATGAAACCCTGTTGGTGCTGGTTACATTGATATAAGTTATGATGTTGGAATTTGTAACTGTGGTTTCCTAGAGGGCTGGCCGGCCACTACCGAATCTGTCACAAAGAAATGGCATTAAAGGTCAACTCTCCTCGGTTGGTGGATGCGTAGTATATGAAAAAACGCCTTGTGACAAGAGTCCTATATTATGCTTTCTGATGGGCATCCAGTAACGAACCCATGACAATGTTCGTGAGATCGAGTATAAACTGCCCTGTATTACTTATCATTTCCGAAGGGCTTTGTTCAGATTTTAGAATATATGGAGGGGCTCTGAAAAGAGCTTTTGTGTCCTAGGTCACCCTGTGTCAGCACGAATGGTAAAACCACTCAATTGAAATCATAAACAGCAGATGCAGTAACTCATAAAAATTATGAAATGTGGTTTTGATTCGACTTTACTTGAGGAAGATTACTTATCGCGTTCATCCTTGCCAAACTGGATGAAGTTGACGGGGCGAGTTCCTATACCTAGGTTAATATGCACTGAAATTTAAGAACCTTCTTTGCTAATATCTTAAGTGTATTGTTGCTATAGCAGCTACAAAACACATGTCCCCATGCTCAACGAGACTTTCCATGTCAGTGTCAATTTGGTTATTCAAGTCAAAAAAACGAGTGAACTTATACGGTACAACAGTTAGATTCTTCCTAAGATAAAAGTGTTTGATGTTTTAAAGTTTTTAATCTGTTTTAGCTTTAACGTATTCTAATTATGGATATGTTGAAACTAAACACAGGTGGAGCACACGAAAAATCTGTCGTGCAAGTCGCCAAAATGTCGGCTATTACAATCAGCATCTTGCTTATTTCATGGCTTCCATACTCTACATTGGCCATTCTCTCTCTTAGCGGTTACCGCACCAGTTTGACACCAATCTCCGTCGAGATGGCTATCATTCTTGCCAAGTCCCATCCCCTCTGGAAGCCGATGGCTTTCATATTTATGAATGAAAGGTTCCGCGCTCGGTTGGTCAAAAGGGTATCGTGCCTGACTAAGTTCTATAAGGCACGCTGCGTTTGCATAATTCCGGCCTTCTCCACTTAAGCTTTAGTTTGTTTGTCTCTTTCCATCAACGCACTCTCATAAGCCGCGGACTTCTCCTCTTCCCCTCCTTTGTTCTGTTCAACCTTGCTTCTTCCACTTTGTTTGGTCATCAGCGGAGACGTCAAATAAGCAACCAACATAGGGTGCATTTACATATTATTACCAACCCCTTTTTTCCTAACGCCATCAAGGACCTTTGTGGACATATCTTTTTAGTTACGAGCATCTCTCCACATTGTTTTTTAACTGAACATTTTTCTGCTATGTTTTTTATTGTAATTTCTCCGCCGTAAAGAAAGCGATTTGAAAAATTTCCGTTTGTGTAAAAATACATATACTTTGAGCCTATATCTTAATAGGGTATAATCAGAATGGGAAAAGCCTATTTTTGACCGCCTCGTGTGAAGGAAATGAGGAAAATATACTTTTACTAAAAGCACATTAAGTGAAGCAAACTATACTAATGCACAGGAAAATCCCCCAAATGATAAATGCCGCAAGTACTAAGAACCAGGTTGAGGAAAATGTGGACTGCATTTTTCTTCAGTCCAGATAAAATTATAAATTAATGCTGTCGAGGGCTTAAAATAGCACAGTTATCATCATCTTCTCTAGGCAGATCGAAGGTAGGAAACTTTAAGAAACTTACGAGATAAATTTGTATGTAGGTCTCTACTATGGAAGATAAATAATTAAACGAAAATTGGCTTCGGTAGCAAACTCACCGTTGCTAGAATGCCCCAGGACGTCCAAGGGCCCAGTGCGCAGACACATAACCCGCGTATTACGGTCAAGGTAATACTATTAAGCACAGTTTAACAGTTTCAATAAAAGTACGTACACTGCGTGTGATTTTTAGACGTTCGTCCATTAGATGACGTGTCTAAGCCAATCTGTCTATGAATTGTCCGTCATGTGCCAGTATCAGTAGACTAAAACGGCCGAATGAACAAAATGAAGTCCACTATGTTTG